TGATGAGCCAAATTCCCCTTGGCTCTGCATGGGGCAAGTTTAAGGAAGAGTTAGGTGGGGGGCATTAATGGGCTTCTCAGCCCAGGGGAAGAGGCAGGCTCCTGATTTCAGATGACACAGACTTGCTGGAGTGGACGCTGTGTTGTGACAATGAGGACTTCTTTAAGAATGTTTTCTACAGCGTGACCCTCGTCTTACTCAGCATGCTTGTTCCATTTAGTTTTTCCACTTGTTTTTCCTAATGATTGGGGGCACATGACACTTGAAGCTGAAAATGGGTTTGGGAATTCAGTTCCATGGACACTGAGTTCTGGCTGTCTTCTGAATTTTTGAAAACCATGGAAGGACCATGTCCCTCTGTGGCCTTCAATTGGCTTCAGCTGGGAAGGAGAGCTGATCATTCTGAAACTAGCTTCCACATCAAGCCAGGATTTCAGGGAAATCTAAGCAAATTAGGTTTTCTGGATTAGCAATATAGTACTTTTAACCATGGGGGATCATGAATTAGAAGCAAATAGGACCCCACACCCTATTTCCTAATTCTTTTACTTAAAATATAGTAGGCTTTCACAAATATTCATCTGCTTCAGGAAGGAATTTATCTGCTTCGGGATCCCTGACATCTTTTGCCGAAAATATCAGTGCACTTACAAAGTGCATTTGACTTTTTATTACTGTCTTTTTAAATCTCCGTGTTTGGATCCTTTGCTGTACCCACATCTAGTTCCTTGAAAATAAATTAAATTTTAGTCTAACACTATGAAATACCATCTAGTTGAGAACTCCCCCACTTTCTGGAACTATCCGTTGACGGTTGTCCCATGACCAAGATCCAAAGGAATGGTCCTTGTATGTTACTGGTGTTTTCAGTATTCATATGAAATAATAAACACACTAGCACTAATATAGAATCACCTTTAGTTTGGGGGCAATTTGCTTAGAATTTATGTGTGTCTCATAAGTTCATAAAAAATGACCTTGGTAGGCTGCCACTTGCCACATCAGACTATCCCAACTTTCCAGGAGCTACAGAGAAAACACCCCCCCC